TTCTTGAACGATTAAGTTTGCTAAGTATCTGAAGCTCGAGATTCTGCTAACATGGTGGCAACAATGATATGTCAGTGATCTTGTCTCTGCCAACACTTTCTATTGAACATGTTACTTGCTTGATTTACACTTTTCTCCTTAACTCCAAGCAGCAGTAAGACATACTCTTGTTATTCAGACAACTTTTGTGACAGAACATCTAAAACTCCAAAGTTGCTGAAAGTTTCAACAAACTCAGTTTGTGATTACAGAAGCTACGTTTTCCTTTACGAAATAAAGCTCGCGTGTAATTGTCTGTAATATCGATGTCTCGAGAAAGGGAACGGATGATTGCTATGCCTTGGTTGTTATTCGTTAAAGCATGCTTTGCATACAGGAAGACTTTTATGTCGGCTTCTTCTTGGTGGTTCTACGGCAGATTGTAGAACCCCAGGTTTCCGACTGCCAGATTGTCGAGTTCACTTTGCCAAAACACAGTTTGCCGAATGCCAGTTTGCTGAATCAAAAACTACAAATCTTAGTTTGTTGAAACCCAGTTTGCGCTGAAACCCACTTCATCGGAAATAAAATAAAAGCACAGCATAACATTCATGTTGAAACACTCTCTTACTATGTATTCGTATAAGAAATAGCGGCTTATTGTATAATAAGTAAAACAATTGGCTATCAGCAAATAAAAGTCAATTTAATAGGCCTCGCAGTTAAAACGTATTATGAGCATACCTATGATAAATACATAAATTTATTAAAAAAATAATAATGAAGGAAATAAAAAAATTAATAATAATCTACAATTATACACGCATGCCAATTGTGGCTCCAAAAATTTGTCGACAGGGGGTCTGACTCAAAAGGATACGATGCTTATCCTTAATTTCATTTCATTTTCTTCTAATTTTAACTGATAACCATGCTTTCAAGTGTGTTTTTCTACAGTTTTTTTGTCTTCCAATATTTTTCCTTTTAATTTGTATACAAATGAAACTCCTTCCTTTCAAATGCAAGTATGCTGTACTTTTCTAACACAGAGATTTAGACTTTGGCAAACTGGGATTTCATGATTTCAGTGAACTGATTGGGCATTCTGGGTTTTGGCAAACTGAGTTTCTGCAAACTGGGATTTCATGATTTCGGTGAACAACTGGATTCGGCAAACTGGATTTCGACAAACTGGTTGGATACCTTCTTGAATACTATTGCTATCGGCGAGAATGCGTCCTTGTAACTGAAAGAGATTTTGTATTAGTTCCAGATCTTCGTAGCAGCCAGGAAAAGCAGATTCGAAAGTTGTCCTGCATGCAATGCATGCTTTAAGGAATTACAACCAATACATAAATATCAACCGTTCCATTCTGGAGACATCGATATTGCAGTCGTTGCTACTGTATATCTTATTTTATGACAACGGAGAGAGGGTCATTCTAGACACAAACACTGGCAAATACCGAAAGTTGTTCAAATTAAGTGGCATTATTAACTTTCACCAGCGAAGAAATCATCCCTTATTGGATTTCGTGCTTCTGTTGTCAAAGACAAGGTTTTGTTGACACTTTCTGATAACTTTAAAGTTTTACATGTTCTGTCACAAAAGATATCTGAGTAACTTGAAGACTGCAGCATGGAGTTAAGGGGAAAAGTGTAAATCAAGCAAGATGTGAAATTTTCAATAGAGGATGCAAGATCACAGACATATCATTGCTACCACCATGTTTGCAAGCAGACCCTTGAGCACTTGAGCAAATTCAATCGCTAAAGAATGGAAATTAAGCAGACGTAAATGATTTGGTCAGTAAAAATAGTATTCACAACAGATGGAATGATCAAATGAAGCAAAAAATGATTGAGACAGTGATGCCCATGGACGTCCAAGAAATGTTTATAATAAAGACGAAGACTTTCAGATAGCAGTTATATTAGCAATACATGAAGATTATTGCTCAACATAGGGTTTACAGTAAAGGACAATTATGTAATAAATGAATTAATGCCTTTATACATGAAAATTATGGTAGTTATTTGTGTGGTTCTCCTGGGATACCTTGTGTAGTACACAAAAATAATGAAAAACAACCGTATATTTGTATGGAAGCTGGATTTTTTTTTTTAGGATTCTGGTGATATTTTCCATTTTTCAAAACAGAAAAGGGCTAATATAAGGGGGCATTTTTACTTACATTTCCAAAAGTGAGTTAGCTTACCACCCTAAAATATGTTATTTTGGGTTTAAAAAGTCAACAGCAGTTATTTCATTATGTTTTGAAAATTAAACAAATTTATTTAGGGTGTTTTAAGCTGCTGTTAAATTGTTCTTTAATTTTGGCGGCCATTTTAAAAAGCGCCCTCAATTGCCTCTCGAAATCTTCACATTAATAACTTTAGCTAGTTATACTTAACTCCTATCATTACATATTCAAAAGTTGGTCAAACCTACATTTTCTGTGCTTATTTTACCAATATATATGTAGTTTATTGGATTTTGGCGGCCATTTTGAAAAAAGCGCCCTCACGCGAAAGTTCTCAGGTTACGCCTCTTTTACCTCACATATTCTGATTCCCCATAAAAAATTGGTCTAGAAAAACCATATGAGAATTTCTACCTCTCCAAGTGGCACCTATCTCAATTATAGCCTGGTCTAATGAACCCCAAATAAAACGGGGGTCGTCGGTCCTTCCCGGGAATATTTTGGTTCTTAGATGGCGAGAAATGAGTTTTCCCGAATTCTGAAGTGTCTTTTAATCAAAATTTAAGGTTTTCCCCTCTTGTAAACGGTCAGGTAATTTTTTCTCATTCTTATTACAGGTCAGGACCTCCTGAAC